GCCCTAGGCTAACCCAAGCCTCTAATAAGGGGTCCCGCTGCCCTCCCAGCCTTCCCCCCTTCACAGGGAAGGAGCCCCTCGGTAGTACCTGCTCCCCTAACCCTGAAGACTCCCTCACACGCCCAACTCTTCACCCCTACCCCGCACATGCACCAAGTACAAGGGGCATTCTGGGACAGCAGGTTGACCTCAGGTCACCAGGGGCACCCCAGGCTGAGCTGAACTCTGTACCACTGGTTCTTGGGCCAGGACTGGGGTTATAAGAGGAGCTGGATGGGTGAGGCTTGTGAGCCAGTGGGGGGTGGGGAATTAGCAAGAGATAAAAAGGAGTGAGGACAGAAAGAACAGAAGCATAGCTTCCTGGAGGCGACCACATGGAGGAGGACAAGTCTCCCATGGGTCTCTGGGACTCTATGCATGGGGCACGGAGCTGAGCACACAGCAGGCCCTCGACCTGCAGTGCCGGGTGTTCCAGCTGACACCCCAAAGCCTAAGGAGTTGTGTGGGGCGCCGCAGAGTCTCAGTCTACAGCACAGGGGGCTGGCTGCCCCACGCTCTCGCCCACCCCACTCTCAGCTTGGCTATCCTATGAGGCAGTGCTTCTCCAGGGATGCCCTAGAAACTCCCAAGGCCAGCAAGATGTTCATAAAAGCTCCAGTGAACAGAGGGCTCTTAAAAGACGAATTAGTTTGTATTTAATGCAGCCTTTTCACATCCAGTATAATGCTGTCAGGAGGTTGTGTACTAGATACTCTCCACCAAAGCGATCTTGTGGATGTACACACAAACACACAGACACAGCTTAGTCACACAATGAATTAACAAAATCAAATCCTGGGCAGGTGGATTATGTAACTTTGAGCAGCTAAAACAAAGGCTCTGAGATCTCACAAATAACTATCGTTATGGCATTAAAAAAAAAAACACTCGCTTAGGAAATGCTATTTAAACTGTCGTGAGCGTGATCTGGCTAAGCGCACCCAGAGCCCCTATAGGATTCGAACTCTGGAAGAGTCAGATGAAAAGAAATGCACATCCAGTTCACCGAACATCCAGCGTGTCCTGGATCTCCCACGGGGCCTGGGCCCAGGCCTCAAAGGAAGGTGGGAGGGGGAAAAGGCGGGGAGGGGTGGGGAGGAGAAAGGTGAAAGCCGTGGCACAGTTCGGTGTGCACGTGAAATTCAGTCCCGGCATGCTCTCCTCCTGCGACACCTGTTTTAATCGGGCTTCGGAAGGACCAGCTTGGCCCCCTCGCTAGACGATGGGCTTGAGCTCGCAACCGCAGGTGGTCCCCGAGCCTGAAGAGAGGCAGCTCGGGAGACCTGGGGTCGGGCCACGCAGTAAGGTTAAAACGCTTATGATGAAAGGGTGACAGCACGATGTGCTCTCGGGCACAGAACCAGGAGGGCTGCGGGAACACGTGATCCCGGACCCTCGCTCGCTCACTCTCAGGGTGAGCCTGGGAGAAGCCTGCGCCTAACCTGCGCCTCTCATTTCAGTGGATCCGTAACAGGGAAGATGTGCACATGTGTACATGTACAGACACAGACACGCGCACACACACACACACACACCCAGCACCCATAGTAAAACAGCACAAAACTATCTATGTATTTTTTATGTAGTTGCTGAGAAAACAAACTCTAGAGCCAAATGGTCTTGTCCCTAATCCTCCTGCCATCACTTACACGGTCTGACCCTGGGAAGGTGACTGAACTCTACTGAGCCTCATTTTTCCTCATCTATAAAATAGAGGTAAACAATAACATCATCTTCATCGGACTGTCAGGAAGATTAAACGGGCAAATAGATGCAAAGTATTTAAAAACGGTATCTGCTCCATTTTCGATGTTATTTGTTTGCTGTCATTATTACATTATACCCCAACTTCCGATTCCTGTTAGTTCCTCCAAAGCACATCTGGAATGTGGCTGCCGCAGATAAGAAAGCGGAACGAAGAGGAAGGGCCCACTGCTCACGGGGCTGTGACGGGCACGAGGCCAGGCCCTCCGTGGCATGCTCCGGGCACAAGCACTTTGAGTCTGTGGCTTTTCTTGCAAAATGATTTCTTGAACTTCGTGTGAGTGACTTTCTAGACGACCGCCCGCGTCCCTGAGGACTGGACGGCGGGCCGCAGGTGGGGACTGTGTAACTCACCTGTCCAAGCGTTCGCGCAGGGCGGCCTGCTCCTCATCCTTCTTCAGCACGGCAGCCTGGCACTCCGCGAGACGGCTGCTAGTGCGGCTCAGCTTCTCTCCCACGTCTGCCTGTGCGGCCTGACACGGACGCCGGGGAAAAGACACTCAGCTGCAGAAGCGTGTGCCAGATGCCGTGGAGTCACCTGTACTCCACGGAGTCACCTGTCCTGGCTGGGTCACTTCTAACTGGGGCGGGGGCGGGAGCGGGGCTTTCATTTGTTTTTAAATGCAAGAAATAGGAAGGAACCTTTGTTCTATATTTGTGGAGTGTGACACAGTCCTATTTGTAATTATGTCCCTTTAGCACTAATTGTGACTGGTTGTGGTGGTTGGGGGGGTGGGTAGCAGGTATCGGAATCTCCAGGATGGGGGTTGGGGTGGCAGGGAGCAGGGTTCACTTAAAATAGTCACTGCTGTGAAAACTGGTTTCAGTGACACCCCTGCTCCCGCTCAGTCAGTCCCGAGTCGCTTATCGAACACCAGCCGAGGTGACTAAGGACAGCTTGTTTCCTTTCCATGGGGCTGGGTGAAAAACACACTTGGCAGCTTCAGCCCAGGTGTCCAGGGAGTAGAATGGGACCGTGATACAAACTCGGGGTGTCCACAGAAGTGAACTGATGGAACTGATGACAGCTTCGGCTTGGGAACTGGAAGGCCTGTAGGGAGCCCCTCAATGGCACAGTGAAAACCAAACCAGACTCCCTCTCCCTAACAGGCCCACACACTGGGACTGGAGATGACCAGGCGGAGGCCACCATACCAGTCTCCCTGCCCAGGCGGGCCCGCCGCTGATCAGGGCTCTCAGCCTACCTCCAGCTTCCCCAGAGCCTCCTGGGCGGCCTGCAGCCGCTGGCCTCGTTCCTCCAGCTGGCCCCGTAGGCTCCTGCACTCTTCACTGGCCGTCTGCAAAGGATAAGAAACGGATCACAGAAGTGAGGTCCCTATTCTGAAACTCCGTCAGCCGAACCCCCCAAACTCAATAAGCTTCAGGGTTCATTGGTTAACAAAATCATTTCAGGCTTACTAAGAAGCTTAGCTTGGTCCCCAAACTTAGAATTTCACTTCTGCAAGGGAAAAAGTGGCCCGTGAGCACGTGGAGCTGCACGGGATGGGCTGACGGGGTGGGAGGCCCATCTGTGGAAACAAGCACAGGGGCTGCCTAGGAGCCGAGGGCCAGGAGCGGTCTGAGAGTGCGCAGACCTGGGCACGGACACACGGGTGATGAGCACTGGAAACCGAAGCCCCACGGCCGTCCTGCCTGCGTCCTTGCTCTTAACCCCCTTCTTCGGACAGTATCAAAGGCACGTGGTAACCGCTGCTCTCATAAGCTCGTCTATCTCAAAGGCCTTGTGAAAACCAATCGAG